GCATCAGCAGCAGAATCAGAATCACCATCATCATCATCATCATCATCATCACCAACATCATCATGATCATCAGTATCATCAACATCGTCACCGTCAGCACCATCATCAGCACCATCATCATCATCAGCAGCATCAGCATCAGCATCAGCATCATCATCATCATCATCATCATCATCATCATCATCATCATCATCATCATCTTCATCTTCATCTTCATCCTCATCATCATCAGCAAGCATCATCATCATCATCAGCAGCAGCAGCAGCATCATCAGCATCATCAGCACCATCATCCTCATACCCTCGTCTCTGCCCTCCTCATCCTCCTCCTCCGCTTCCCCCATTTGCCTTCTCGCCCTCCTCCTCCTCCATGCCCCAGGGGGCAGAGATCGGCGGGCTGGTGCAGCACACGCGCCACGCCCTCGGGCCCCTGGCGTCCCCGAGAGCTGCCCCCGAGGGGCAGTCGGCCCCGCCGCCGCGGCCCCGCCGGCGTGCCCTCGGCCACCCTCGAGAGAGGGCGACGGGGCGTGGGCCGCCCCGTCGGAGCATAGGCTCGGCGAATGCGCGCCACCAGGCCCCCCTCCGTCGGCAAGGGGGCCCGAGAGAGGGGTTCCCTGGGTTCCCACCCTCCTCCTCCTCCTCCTCCTCCTCCTCCTCCTCCTCCTCCTCCTCTTCCTCCTCCTCCTCCTCCTCCTCCTCCTCCTCCTCCTCCTCCCTCCTCCTTCTCCTTCTCCTTCTCCTCCTCCTCCTCCTCATCATCCGTCCTCCGCGTCCTCCGCCCGAGCGCCGCGCGGACAAAAAATGGCAGAGTTTGTGTGCCAGCGCAGTTTCTTCTGCGGCGTTGGGCGCCCTGGCGCGGACGGCCGAACGACCCCTGCAGCGGGACACCCTGCCCACACGGCCGGCGCCGCAAAAATTGCGCGTTCAACGCGGGCGCCGCGCGTGCCACTACTCGCAAAGTGCCTACTCGCAAACGTCCGAGAAACACATGCCCGTTCCGATGTAATGTATCGCAGATCCCCCTGCGGCGGATCCAGGCCACTCGCGAGCAGTCACACTGCGAGTAGTGGAACGCGCTCGTCTACTTGAGTACTCGTGCCGCGTGCCCCGCACGGAGAGAGGGGAGGTCCAGGGTCGCCGACCTGCAGGGTCAGCAAGTCGGTGGCGTGGGGCAGTGCCACGTCGGAGCGCGCCTCCATCTGAGCGAGGGCGTGCCTCCTCCTCGGAGTCAGCGCAGGTCGTTGATCTTGAGCTTTCGGCATGCACCAACTGGGAGGGGATGCATCGGCACCGTAATCAATTCATGCGGGGGGAGGAGGAGGAGCTACAGGGTCCACTGGCTCCCCCTCAACAAGTATGAGCATACACATTGTATGAAATGAGCGCCTCAGCCATGGCATGGAGCCCAGTCTCGCGGTGAACTTGGCAAGGCCGTCTGACTTCTTCCCCATTTGCTAGTGTGGAGTTGCTCGAGGTACCATTGTTGATATGCCTCACGTCCCTACATGGCGTGCTGTTGTTGAAATGCCAATTCACATGAACATCGGTTCACTAATAAATATTACTCACCAGCGGAATTCCTGGACTGGTACCTACGAGGTCTCTGCATCGCTAGCCAGCTCTAGGCGAGACCCCAGCGCTGGGCCACACGGCGTTCCTTTCTCTCCGCGGAGGCATTGAGAGAAAGACGCGCACTACCTTGCGATATTCGATTGCACTCGCGTGTGTTGAACAGCGATGGCGACCGAATTTCGCCTTCAACGTTTCTCGGCTCGCGGTGCTCCCGAAGGGCGACACCGAGGACGCGGTTCGCCAGATAGGGGCTCTTCTCCAATTTGCCCTCTTGCTTTTCCCAATACTAGCCAACACTGAAATACGCGATGATAGCCGAAGCGATTAGCCGCGTTCGAGGAGGTCGTAGACCGAGTCAATCAGGGCCTTGTTCGGGGCAGGCGACCTTGGGACAAGCATCGAACTGGATGCCAAGCTGCGTGTCTGGACAGGGACAGCGCGTTACATTTACGCGCAGCGTTTAGGAACATACGTCAGCTTTGGAATGTCGTTGTATTGTATCGGTTCGGACTCCCAAGGTTCGTCTTCAAAGTTGCCCGTGAATCCTATGCGAGCGCAAGGTGTCACTGTTTCCTGTCAGAGGTCGGAGGTGTTCTCGTTCCTCGCGGAGGGGTTCATCAAGCAGGGGTGTTCTTGATCAGGTGTGGGTTCGTTATTGTGCTCCATTGCTACTCGTGAAGATGCGGAGGCACGACTTGAGTATACCGAATTGTTTGTTCACGCACGCGGGCGATTTGACGTCGGCAGTGCTTGACAGTTGCATTGCGCTCCTCACTCTCACCAGGCAGACCTGCTTGACCAGTTTCTGCAGGGGTCCCGCCTCAAACGTAGATAAAAGAGCTGCGTTCTTGTTCAGCCCTGAGGGCCTGGACAGGTGCAACTAGTAGCTGTTTACGATGCAAGTTTCAGATCGCATTCGCTGCTAACTACATGGGTATTCTGATCGGGCGCGGCGGGCCCGGCATGCCGTGGAACCAAACTGGCATTCAGGTGCATCAACGTGCACTCGCATTGAGCGAAGTTGCGTCAGTCTGACGCGGTCGGCAATGTTACACGGTCGTTACGCGTTGCTTGTCACTAGTTGCGCCGCGCAGTGCGGTGCCCCCGAAGGTGGTATCAATACATACGTACCATACCCAATGTACAGATAAGAACGGAATGTTGCCAGTTGCATTGCAGGCGCCACGACACCACATCACGTCAAGATTGTCGTTAGTTCGCCAGCGTTGGTCAAATGATAGTACGCAAAGGCTTGACAGGCATCGTTCAGGCTGCGATGTTTAAGGTTGCGAGTGCGTCTGTCCTCAACGTGAAGGTGGTTTGCTAGTCGTGCGGCTTCCGCGGGTAGGATAGTTGCCTCGTCTGTTGCCTTTCCTGCTGTATGGTTGTTGGTTGTACCTCGCAGATCTGCACACATAAAGATACTGCCCAGCCCAACAACACGGACGTGCTACTCTATTGCGTATTATTTGGATCCGCCGCTTGATCTGACAGAGATCCATTTCCAGCGGACGTTGACTACAATGGTTAGACGTAACATGTTTTACCATTAGGGGTTCAGTGCATTGCGTCTTCTTGCTTGAGGGAGTTGGCTAGACTTCTCAGCATTCGCAATACTGATCGTGCGATGCTGCAATGTGAGCCTTGCTGAGCAGAGGATAAAGGCCCAATGTGCCTGACGGCCGCGAGGTTACATCGATCCGCAACGGTCTGGACAGATCGAAACTGTACCGCCGGGGAGCTGCTACTTGCAGGCTCGGTTGCTTGGCCGTGGGAGGAGCCTGTTAGACGGCCGGTACGGGCCTGAGGCGGTGGGGGTCTTGCCGCGAGTCCTTCCAAAGATTCCTCGTGATGATGGTTCCGATCCACTCGTGGGCTTCCTCCCTCATCGCCCAGCCCCCGCGGTCACGGCCGTGTGCTTCTGCTCGGCTGACACAGACGCCCCCCACTCCGTCCAGAACCACCGCGCCCGAGCTGCTGCACCCGACTTCGCCCACGCGGTTGGCGCGGGCAGGGGCCGCCCGCGCATCGCCTTCGGGCGCGGGCCTGCCTCTTCGCGGCTCGCCAGCGATGGAGCGGGGCTTCATTCCACGGCGGGGCGCTTCCTTCCTTCTCCCTCCCTCCCCCCGCTTCTCCCCTCTCTACAGCTCACACCTCTCATGGCGCCAACATCGCAGAGTGGATTTCGTCCGGAAGACGATAGCATGGGCCCGGAGTGTCCTGGAGAATTTCGAGGTAAATGTCGTGCGGGTTCTGCTGGCCCGGAATGAAGACTCAACAAAAAATCCACGCGAAATGCATTTCGTTTTTCACTCGCCGTTTCTGGGGTTTGCATCGACAGAAATCCACGCAAGAAGCCGCTGCAGCACGTCTGCAAGGTCGGTGCCGTGACACTTACACATTGTGAGTACGATTATCATCTCTCCCCTGACTCTGTGCGGGAGATATTCGGCCGCATCCGCGCCATGCATGTTCACACGCCAGATTTCACACGTTTGTGTTCCCCATGCATTCTTACAATCTGCTTATTGTCGATGTTTCAAAATGGTGTTGCCATTGCAGCGTGGGCCTCATTTTCGGATCGACGATGTGTTCCCATCATTCAGAATGGCGTTCTCGCCCCAGCGCGGGCCACGTTTCTGGATCTGAGTCCTTTTTCACCGTTGTCGCCTCCCCCCCTCCGCCGTGCCCTGGTCCTGCTCATCCCACTCCTTTCACTCCAGTTCCTGTTGCTGCTGCGGTTCGTCATCCTTCTCATCCCCCTTTTTTCCCTCATGTTCATACTCCTGCTCACCCGGAGGAGGGATGAGGAGGCGGAGGAAGAGGAGGAGGAGGAGGAGGAGGAGGAGGAGGGCTCACCCGCCACTTCCTCCCACTCCTCACCCCCTTACTCCTCCAACTCCTCCTCCTCCACCTCCTCCTCATCGTCCTCCTCCTCCGTGCGCAGCTCCCCTTCTCCGATTGCGCATATAACATGATGGAGTCGTTCGGGGAGTTCCAGGTCGGCTGAGAACACGCTTCCGTGGGCACAGGAGGAATGAACGCAGTGGGACGGGATGGGAGGGCGGGATCGGATGCCAGGCATGGCGCGAGCACACCTGGCCTGCCTCCTCCCGGGCCGCTGCCTGGGGCTCCTCGCTCGCCAGGTGCCCTCGCAGGGAGCGGCGGGGCGCGGGAGCGGCGGCCCGTGGCCGCGGGGCGCCGAGCGAGGCCCGAATGGTTGCCGCTGCTGTGGCTCCGCTCTCCGCCCTGCAGTGGCAGCAGGCCCTCGGTGGACGGCATCGCGGCGCGGCGTTGCGGCGGTTGCCGTGGCGCAGGAGCACGAGGGTCTGCCGACGCGGCGGCACGCCAGGGCTTGCAAGGTCGGCGGGCCCCCCTTGCGCTGCAGTGCCTGCGCAAGCCCCCAGAGGCTGCTGCAGACGGAGTCGGCCTGGACGTTCCAGGGTGCGCGGCGGCGATCTGGCGCAGCCCAGTGCAGTCCGTTTTTTTTCTGGCTCGCCCTCCTGCTTCCCCCCCAGTCACGTCGAAGTTGGGAGGAACTGAGGCGTGGAGGAGGATGAAGAAGAGTAGGAAGAGGAGAAAGGGGGGGGCGGGGGAGAAGGAAGAAGAGAAGGGAAGAGGAGGAGGAGGAGAACCGGTTGAAATGCACCCTCCCTCTCTCCGAGATCCATCTTGAAGGCCCATACAAGGAGGTGTCATTTACACTGAGGGAATTGCCCCATTGAGGGAAGATCGTGTGTTTATCTTTAAGCGCCGCGGAACACCATTCTCAGGACTTCAACGCCACGAGTCAACCTGATTGGTTACGTTTTGGCGCTCTTGACTCGTACTAGAACATCGATCCTGGGAGTTCAGCGCCGCTAATGAATGTAAATGTTGCGCCCTGCAGTCTTGAGTCGTTCCAAGACACCCTGTGTAGTATGTTAAGAATGAGAACCTGTGAAACCCTTGCATGTTGTTTCAAGCGAATGTGCGCGGCAGATGTTCAAATCAAATGTGCGCGGCGCTAAGACGAGAGCCACAGTTTGAAAACAACCCGCCCTCCACATGTGAAGCATTTGCTGATGTTTAAAAGCGAATGTGCGCGCCGCTAAGACGAGAGCCACAGTTTGAAAATGAGCCGCCCTCAATATGCAAAGCTCTTGCAATTGTTTACAAACGAATATGGGCGCGGCGCTAAGGCGAGAGCCACATTTTGAAAACGGCCCGCCCTCAATCCGAGAACCCTTTGCAAATGTTTAGAACGAATGTGCGCGGCGCTAAGGCGATAGCCGCATTATACAAACGAATCGCCCTCAATCAGTGAAGCTCTTGCAAATGTTCAAAAATGAATGTGCTTTTGAAAAAGACTCTCCCTCAATGTGTGAAACTGTTGCAAGCTTCAGCATCAGGGTCACAAGCGGTGAGGAAGTGTCAGGCTAAACGCCCGGCCAGCCCTTTCGACTGGCCTCGGGGTGCGACAGGGAGACGTGATCTAGAAGGGAGAATGAATGGAGTAGGAGGGAGGACGATTGAGGAGGACGGAGGAGGATCAGGGCAAGCGGGAGGCCTCCAGAGGCTCACAAGAGCCAACATTCGCAGCAAAAACCCACTTTGCTCTCCCACCACAACCCGTCCTGGATGAGGAGGTTTCCCCCGCCGTCGTCGTCGTGGTCGTCGTCTTCGTCGTCGTCGTCTTCGTCGTCGTCGTCGTCGTCGTCGTCGTTGTCGTCGTCCAGGTGCGAGCCCGGCGAGTCGGCGCCCTGGTGCGGCGAGGCGTGGTGCTACGTGGATCCATGCAACTGCGACATGCCGGTGGCCCCGACATTGTCGGAGTACTTGCCCGAGGGGGCGTACCAGGCTTGACGGGGGGCAGGAGGCGGAGGATGAAGAGGAGGAGGGGGAGGGGAGGTGGGGGCGAATGGAGAGGAGATTGAGGAGGAGGACGAGAAGCAAGAGGAGGAGGAGCAGGAGGAAGAGGACAAGGACGGAGAGGAGGAGGACGAGGACGGGGAGGAAGAGGACGAGGATGAGGAGAGGAGGAGGCAGGAGGAGGACAACATGCCAGGCCTGGCCTCCAGGCCAGCAGCAGAAGGCCCGAGGTTAGATGTTTGGAGTGACCCGGGATCCCCCAACCTCTCCTGAGACCCCAACCCCCGGCGGGGAAGGGATCCTAGGGAAGGAGCTCCCCCATCGGGTCAACTACGACGTTGCTCAATTTCGCTTTGGCTGTTTTGTTTTGGCTGGCGCGTTTGAGGAGGAGGGACTAGATGCTTCTTGAAGTCTCTTCGTGGTGCTCTCGGGGGCCTCTGAGTGGATGTTTTGGAGGTGTCTTGGAGGCCCTTTAGGGGCCTCCTGGGGCTTCCTGGCGGTTCCTTGGGGGCGCCTGGGAGCCCCACGAGGGTCTCTTGGGTCCCAGGCTCCCCATCTAGGGGGGGGCGGGGGGGGGCCCTTTCTAACTTGGGACCCTCCCCAGGCCCCCCCCGTGTGTGGGGGGGTGTCTCGGGGACGGAGGTTCCCGCAGCTTGCGTCGATTCCAACTCGGGGCGTAACGATCTGGACGTCCGTCCGCCGAAGTAGGACGCAACAAAGTAGAACCAGGGGGTCGTTGCAGAGAGTTTGGAACTGCACAGCTGTGCATGGGACAGTCTGGCCTAGCAGCGCGCGCCGCTCTCAGAGGAGTGCGGTGCGACCCTACGACTGCGTGAACCTGGAATCGGGCAGTCGTTCAAATGTGGTGCGACACCACGCTTGCATGCGAGTGGCCTTCAATGCGGGTGTCTGCGGGATTTGGGCTCACGTGCGAGGTAGAGGAAAAAATTGTCCTTCCCCAATATTTGCTAATTTCCAGCTTCCCAGGGCGAGCTCTTGCAAACTCCAGCGCCTCTGCGCGACTGAGGTAATCCAGAAAGCCCCGATCGAGTTGGACACGCCACAACGGTTGGTCTGGCCGGGGCGGCCGCACCAAACGTGGAGGCCGCAGCCTGGCCACGATGACCTCATCTTGACAAACGGCTTGACGGGGCGGCCGACCACTGGAGAGCGGCCTTCGGGGTCCAACCGAGGCCCCAGTGGGGCGCTGTCTGGCTTCTTCCATCCTCACGGGCCGGGCTGGAAAACTATTCGACGGCAGTCGCCGAGAGTCCTCCGGAGGGCGACGTGGAGTCCGAAATCAGCGGCGAGCAAACCATGGCGCACCCGTTCGTGGACCAGCACTCTCTGTGGCTCACACAGAGTATGAGCCCGACGTTTTGGACGACCACTTGGACCCCTTCGGACGGCCCGTGGATCATCCGCACGCGCCCCGCGTGCGACGACGTGATGGCAGGGCCTAGCGTCACGCGCTCGGCATGCCACGCGCCCGCGCACAGCCACCGCGCGGCGAGGCGCGTGAGCTGCAAGGCGCGCGCGATCATCCTCCTCGTGGTCAGCCTCCTCGCCATCATCACCCTCATCATCATCGCCATCAGCATCAGCATCAGCATCGTCATCGGCATCATCGCTTCTGACCGTCGTCGTCATTGTCATCACCATCACAGCCGTCCCTGCAGGGCAAGCCGATACACTTCTCCTACGCGACCTGCGACGCCGTGGACGCGTGGACCAGGGGCCACGCGAGGAGGCCGCCCGTCGACGTGGCGGCCACCTGCAGCCGGGAGCAGGACGAAGAGGTCTTCGGAGGGACGCAGAGACGGAGGAGGGCCCAGGCGCGTGGCAGGTATTACAATAGTAAGAATAGTATTAGTAATAATACTGATCGTAATGATAATAATAATAGTAATAATAATAATAATACTAATACGAGTACGAATACGAATACTAATACTCATACTCATACTCATACTCATACTAATCATCATCATCATCATCATCATCATCATCATCATCATCATCATCATCATCATCATCATCATCATCATCATCATCATCATCATCATCATCATATCATTATCATTATCATTATCATTATCATTATCATCATCATATCAGGAAGAAGAAGAAGTGGTCTCTTCTCGATCAGCCCTGGCGGACGGCCGATTTGGTGCCGCGCTGGAGAGGCGGGGCTCCCTGTTCCGTCCCGCGCTCCCGAGGCTTGTGGTTCACCATTTCGGCCTTGCCTCTCAGCGGTGGCGTAAGCGGCAAGACGCTCCGCTCGCCTTCGAGGTGCCCCAGGCGGTGGCCGAAGTGGTAAGGCGCACCACCCGACTCTGAGGTGTACAGGTGGCCTGGGTCAAACAGTCCGCAGTGATGCTTCCAGGATCGAGAGTTTGTGTTGACGCGATTGGCCATCGCTGGGCCTCCAGAGGCCTACAGAAGCCTGGGCCTCTGGAGAGCTCTGAAGACGTCTGGGGCCTCCAGAGTCTTCTGGAGCAGGGCATACATTGCCGACGCCCTGCGCTTGTAGCGTCACAGAAGTAAGAACCGACGCGTCAAGATTCTACAGGCTTGCGCCACATCCGCCGACCCTTTGATTTCAGTTCGTTTCCCTCGGTCTTTCGGGTGCGTTCGTGGAGCCTTTGGTGTGCTTATTCGGTGCATCTTTTTTTTTTGTGGGGGGGGGGCAGCGGAAGTTTTTATCAGGCTTCCTCCGGCTGTTTGGAGGTATTCCTTGAGCCGCCGCGGGGGTATTTTGTTCGGTGCTGTCAGGTTTGGGACTCGTGGGCCGTACTGTTGGGCCGTCTTGGATTGGTTCTGGGGGTGCCTATCCTGAGCCTCCGTTGGTGCTATCGGAACACGCTGACCATTGTGATTTTCGGGAACTTACGGGGGGCGTCGAGTTGCAGCCCAGGTGTGCGGTGTGGCATGGCGTTCCACTGTCACGACGTCGGTGCAGAGTGTTTTTGCGACGCTGTCGTCGCCTCCCCCTCTTCTCCGATTGTCGCCAGTTGTTGCCCCAATGGTATCAGCATTAGTGCCCGCGGTCCTGCCCCCCCCTCCTCCAGGCGAAAATCTCTGTCGATTCTGGCGTTTTGGGGAATTGGCGGATATGTGTCAATGCGTTTTCTATTGGTGCATCTGGTATATAGTTTTCCGGTGCGACTTCTCTGCAACATTTGACATATATATATATATATATATATATATATATATATATATATATGTGTGTGTGTATCTATATATATATATACACACCAATCCGCTGGGGCCGGTTTCGCGCCTCATTGGTAGATATTGTGACGGCGGTTTTCCAGCCTGCGCTGTCAGGGCCCGCCCGTCTTTGCAGAGCCGCTTCACGCGGGGCGCCGTGCCCAATTGCTTTTCCCGACACATGTGTAGGACCACACGCGTAGTGCAGCGCATTTCGCCTTCGTTCTACCTCGCGGTGCCGTAGACAGCCCGTCCGCGCTGGCACCTTGAAAGCGGCAGATCCGCATGAATGTGGCGTGTGCATTTTTGCATTGTTCCAGCGAAGCACGTTCCCGGATATATTTCACCCTCCCATGCCAGGAAAACGCAAACGGCGAGGGTAGGCCACATCACCTCAGGAGGTCTCTAGTTTTGACCCCCCACTGATCTTTCGGCGGCGAATAGAACTGGTCCTAAAACCTCCTCGTCGCGGCGGAGACCATTTTCCTTTCTAGTGTTGGGCGGATTGGGTAATGTTTGGGGGTTGCATTGGGCGACGCTGCACGTGGGAGGATTTGCGAGCACCTTCTCATGATCTCATGGGATTTGGGCGGGCTAGCTAATATGTTGGGGTTATTTTTTTTTCGGCGGAATCAACCCATAAGGATTGCACTTGGAATTGTTTCGTTCTGATTTGCCAGCTTTGTCAAAATGGTTTGCCTAGCACTGCAGGCAGAGCTCCTGCTGGCGCCTGGTCGGCGCGATAGGCCAATATGACGACTTTTCCAGTGTGGACAACAGAGCTCGCTAAAGCATTTTATTGTCCACCCGGCAGAGGATGGATTTTCTGAGGGCTTGCGCGGGGCCTGCGCTTTTAATGCCGCGAGACCAGTGCGGGCCGTGCCGGCGCAGGCTTCTTGTAGAGGCTTTCTCGAAGTACGAGTTCCAGAGGAAGGAGAGGCGGGCGTTATATAAAAAGTGCATCGTGGAGATGAAAAGCGCGGGCGAAAAGTGGCGCAAGAGGTACAAGGAGACGAAGAGGGGCTCGCGCTGCGGATCGACGAGCGGGGCGGGACGGCACCGGGCGACGAGGAGAAGGGCCGAAGGATTCGGACCATGCATTGCACACGAAAGCGCGCATGTGAAAGCCAAGAAGAAGTCGCGCAGTGGGTATGCGAGCTGGAACGGCAGCGTCCGAACAGTGCGGTGTTCGAACGACGCGTGCCCGTCGCTTTTTTGACGAGTCGGCGGCAATGTCGGAAGCGCAGAAGCACAACGTAGCCGGGGAGAGGCGTTCCTGGAACTGCGCGGAGTAGAGGGAGGAAGCGGCGCGGAGAGCGAATGCAAAGGCAACGAACCGCAAGAGGAAAGCGGGGGCGGAAGCGAAGGCGCTGACGTGCGCAGCGTGCGGGGGAGGTTTCGTGGACACGAAACATTTGAAGAAAGATCAATTTGAGGATCATCGAACAACGAAACAGGCGCGCGCGGCGTGCGGGGGGGACTGTAGCAAGCGTGAGAGCACCGCGAAGGGAGTGGCCGATGCGGCGAAACGGCTTGCGAAAGAAGCTTCCGCGGCAGGAACACATCAGCGACAGACAGGAGAGTGATCCGGGGAAGAGTAGAGTTGCATGCGCGGGGTGCGTGGACCTCGGCTTCACGGCGCGCAGCTGGCAAGCGTACTAGCGTTCCGGCACCTGCAAGAGGAAGCTCCCGAAATCTGAAGTCGTCCATGGACCGATGTTCGAACGTGCGCGCCAGAGGGGCACCCTGAAATGCAACTCGTGCACGTGAGACCCGCTGAAACGTTGGGCAGCGCGCGGATGCTCAGGGCTGCAGGGGCGAAGGGGAGGAGGAGGAGGAGGAGGAGGAGGAGGAGGAGGAGGAGGAGGAGGAGGAGGAGGGAGAGGAGGAGGAGGAGGAGGGAGAGGAGGAGGGGCATGCGGAGGTGGAGGAGGAGTAAGGGGTGGAGGAGGACGGGAAGGAGGAGGAGGAAAAGGTGGATTAAGAAAAATAAGGATCTGATCTGCGGGCGTGAACTTAGGCCTCCGGAGGCCGTTCAAGACGACCCCAGCGCCTTCAGAACGCATGTTCTCACTTCGGATCTGGAGGCAGCGTGCGGGCACCAGGACCGCGAACGGGGTTGTGGGTTTGAGGCCCCTAGTTTGGTTTCTGGGGTCTCGTGGGAGGCATGGAGCCACTTCTGGGGCCTCTGAGGGGCCTCCTGGGGAAGTCCTGGTGGCCTGTTTCGGGGATTTCTTGGGATTCCCAGGGGCCTTTGGGGTTTCTTGGTTGTTTCTTGGGACAAACGGGGGGCGTCTTGGGGCCGACGGGTCGAAATTTCCGGTCGGGTTTTGCTTCTTGGGTTTTTCTATAGAAAAACCCAAGAAGCAAAACCCGACCGGACGGCCCCCGGACGGCCCCTATAGGGGCCGTCCGGGGGCCGTCTTCGGTCGGTTTGGGGGTTTCGTTGGCCGTCTTGAGGCCATCTTTGGCAGTCCTGGAGCCCTCCTGCGGGCTTCTTGGGCCGTGTATAAGGCCCCAGAGGCGAGTCTGCTAAAAATATAAACGTTTTCCTATGGGAATGGGACGGTTTTGGCTTCGGACAACCCTCTAGGGGAGGCTGTTAGAAGCTTCTTGGGGCGGCTTGGAACGACACTTCGGCGAGCCGGGGCCCTCTTGGACCGTCGGGCCTCTTCGGAGGCCTCGGGGGCTGTCTTGGCGCTCCACAAGGAGCCCGGGAGAGCCGGACACCCCCGGCTGAATTCGGGGGGTCGTGCCGGGCCCGGGGGGGGTCAAATTGCCGGTTTGGGGTCCCGGGGGGAGGATTCATGGGGGGGCAATCTCTCACGCCTAGAGACCCGGGCTCGGCGGATTTCCTCGTCGCTCATTTTATTTCCGTCATGGTGGCGGTGGCAGCGGGCGCTCGGGGTTCGGGGCCGCTGCGCAAGGCCGAAGAGGAGAGGGATGAGGACCAATGTTTGTTTTCGTTTGCTATGCTTGGTGATCTGCCTTGCATCTCCACCCCAGTCCTCCCATCCTCGTTTTCGAGGGAGCGGGAACGGCAACAGGTCAACAGCGTGTCAACAAAACGAAAGGACAACGAAACTGTGAAACACTTACAGAAGCAAGTCATTATCACATGTTAGATACACTTATGCATATATGTGCAAACGGCGGCAAACCGCAAGTAGGAAGTCACAGACGATCGTTCCGTGACCCTTTCCCTCCCTTTCCCTCTCTCCATCTTCTCCCTCATCGCCCTTGCCCTTCCTTCCCTTCGGTCGCCTCTGCCCGCGAAGTGAGGGCTGAACCGTCGATCGGTCGGTGGTCGGGCGTTCAGCTGGCGGTGCCTTCCGCGAGCTGCCACGGACCCGACTGGCTGAGTCAGAAGCGGGCTCCGTCTGTGCAGGACGGGCGGCGGCGGGGGTAGGCGGTTCGGCTACAGTCGGCCCGGATGAACCAGTAGGTCGACCCTGCCAGCTCAAGGGTGCCGTTGCGTCTTGTGCCTCGCCACACGTGCCTTCTTACACTCATGTAGCGATGGGGCCCTCGGAAGGGTCTTGTGTCCTCTCGCGCGTCCTGCCCAATCAAGGCCGACTGGACTTGGCGGGTGGCCCTGGTTGGTTGGCGGATTGGATCAGTTGCTGGGCTGGCTGGGACACCTGGTTTCGAAGCAGACTGCCGGCGAGGCCCAGCCTGGGTCCACGCCCTGCCGGGCCAGGACCGGCGCCAGCGGAGGGGCGTCCCCCGAGGTCTGGGGCAAGAGGGGCTGCCCCTGCATCGGCATCGGCGACGGCGCGGGCGCGACGGAGGTGCAGCTCGGCCAGAACCGGGTAGCCTACCCCGCTGGCCTTGGCGCCAGGTGCGGGGAGCGGGACCATGGCTCCTCCCTTCCTCCTCCTCCTCCTCCTCCTCCTCCTCCTCCTCCTCCTCCTCCTCCTCCTCCTCCTCCTCCTCCTCCTCCTCCTCCTCCTCTTCCTCATCCCCTTCCTCCTCCTCCAGGGCACGCCCTCCTGCTCGAAAGCGTGATAATCATCGACAACAGCAGCATCAGCAGCAGCATCAGCAACAGCGTCGTCAGCGTTATCAGCGTCATCGTCAGCACCATCATCACCATCATCACCATCGTCACCATCATCATCATCTGCATCGTCCTTATCATCTCCATCACCCCCCTCATCCCCATACCTATCGATATCCGCATCATAAGCACACTCGTTATGGTCGTGTTTACCATCGGCATCAACGTCATCGCCGTTACCATGTGTATATATATATATATATATATACATCAGTTTCGTCATCGTCATCACCACCACCACTGTCATCTGAACACGGCGAGTGCTGGGACGGGCGCTGGGACGTGTCCTCCTCGCCCTGCGTCCCCGCGGACCGCGAGGGGGGCACGCGGCCGCGGCCTCAGGCGCACCAAGGCGGGGCCTGGCGCGCAGCTTCTGCGCGGCGGCCTGGCGCAGGCGCGGGCACTCCTCCTCCTCCTCCTCCTGGCGGCGCAGGGCTGGTCGCTGGAATCTAGGCCTCCCAGATGGGGCCCAAGCAGATGGGATCGGAGGATCGCGCCGCATCGCCGATGCATCGGCGACGCGGCTCGATGTGGAGCCCGATGTCTTCCACGCCGACGGTGCCGATGCTTCACCCGCGTCGCCGCTGCATCGGCGATGCGGCTCGATCTTCCGACCGCATCTATTCGGTTCCCATCTACTTGTCTGACCCATATCTAGGATTAAGTCGGGCCTGTCCCTCTACAGGAGGAATATTCCAAAACATGAGAAAAATTGTCTGGGGACGATTTTGGGATTATTTTTGAATTTGTTTGGAGTATTTGGGGGGTATTTTCAATTTGTCCTCCAAAATCCCCCTGTAGGGGGACAGGCCCGACCTAAATCTAGGATGCTTCTACGGAAGGCACGAGCTTCTATCCCCCTTCGGATCCCAGGGCGTCTTCTGCGAAGCGCGGGAGGGGTGACCCGGCACGCTCAAATTGGGGGGGCACGGCCTCACGAGCCTCCGCGCCGCCAGCAGGGGGCCATGGCGAGCGGGCGCTTCTGGGGAGCGTTGGGGGCTGCGCGCGCGGCGGAGTGCGGGAGGGTCAGCAGGGGCTTGTTGGCCAGGGCGCGTTGGGACACACGTCGAAGAACCAAAAATCCGGGGTGAACTCTGATGTACGACTGCGTATCAAGCATTCCCTATTGAGTGTGCTGTTTATTTAGTGTGCGGTGTATCGAGTGTACTGCTTATTCCGTGCACTGACTGCTGATTATTGCCTGGTTATACAATGTTATGTTCATGTAGCATTGTTGATGGAGTCCTGCTTCTTCAGCGCACCGCCTTGTTTAGTCCTGCTTGCCTAGCAGTGTTGGCTTATTCGGTGTTCTATTACTGTTATTTGGTGTTCTGCTTACTTAGTACTGCTTATTTGGTGTTCTATTAATGCGTGTGTAGTATGGCGTATTCAATGTGCCGTTGCTTATTTGGTATTTCGGGAAGGCCGCCGAAGGTCGGCGGAGGGCGGCGGAAGTCGAACGAGGCTACCTCTGCCGACGGGGGCAGGTTGATTTAGTATTGTTTATCTGGTGTTCGTTAGTTAGTTGTGTTTAGTTAGTTTTGTGTCTTTGGTATTGTTGCTTCAGCATTGCTGTTTTAGTTTTACTGGTTGCGCATTGTTTATGTAGTACTGCTCATCTAGCGTACCGTGTTTTGTGTTTGTATTGTATTGCGTACTTAGGATTGCTTATGTTGTGTATTGTTTCTTAGCCTTGCTTATGTAATAGTGGTGCCGATTTGAGTTTTGCCGGAAGGCGGCGGAGGGTCGGCGGGAAAGAGGGGAAGTAACACGAGGCTACAGCCGTTGGAGGGGGATTGTTGATTACGTTTTTGTTCAACTACCACGGGTTATTGAGTATTGTTTATTGTGTTCTGCTTTCGCTTAGTTTGCAGGAGGGCGGCAGAAGGGCGGGGGTGGATTTACATTGCATTGTTTGTTTAGCATTGCCTCTTTAGTATGGTTGTTGCTTATTATTTCTGTTGCTCTTATGCAATATTTCTGGAAGGCGGCTGAAGGTCAACTGAAGGCGGTGGAAGTAAAACGAGGCTACCTCCTCCAGCGGAGGTAGCCGCATTCTGTATTGCTTATGTGGCTTTGCTTTTGATTATACAATGGCCTTCTGCCCATCCCACCACCAGGCCTGGACTGCGGGTCAGAATTCTCAGAGAGGTATCTTGCGCCTCTTGGGGGGCAGTTGTGGAGTTTCTTGGGGGCCTCTGGAAGTCCTCTTGGGAGCCTCTTGGGGCTTTCTGGATCCCCCTTTGGGGACTCTTGGGGCCTCTTGGGGGCTTCTTGGAGGCCTCCTGGAGCCTCCCGAAGGCCTCTCGGGACCGCGGGCTCGAAACGTCCGTTCAGGTCCCCCGTTCGGGCCCCCTCTTGAGGCGGTCTGAGAGGCTTCTTGCGCCGTTTTGGAAGCCTCTTGAGCAGTCTTGGGGCCGTTTTGGGGCCCTGTTGGACGCCTCTCCCGTTGTGTTGGGGCGATATTGGGGACCCCCTGGGCCGTCTTGGAGCGTCGGGGAACCGAAGAGGCGAGAACGCCAAAATTATCCAACGCCATAGGAAAATCAATGATTTGTGCCTCTTGGGGCCCTCTTCGGACTGCTCTTGGAGGCCTCTTTGGGCGTCTTCGAGCCTCTCTTGGGCCGTCCGGAGGCCATCTTGTCTTGGAACGATCTTTTGGCGACTCTGGACCCTCCTGGACCGTCTGGACGGCCTCCCGGAGCTTTCTTGGTCCGTTTTGGGGCCCTACTGCGCGAAGGGACCGTCCCGGAGGCCCACACGAGACACCCCAGCAGCGCCAATGTACCGCCCGAGAGCGCCAGGGAAACTGTGGTTCCGGGCCCTTGCGAGCTTTACAAACTACCTCTCAGGGCTGCATGAGCCTTGGGGCATTTCACTTCGTGCCAGAGGCACGGTGGCGGATGGCGGGAAGCGCCCCTGGCGTGGGCCGCTTGTTGATGGTAAAAACTAATGAATGGCTACGGACTGCACCGGGCACCCACGTTGGCGGATGATGGGAAGCGCGTTGAGACTCGAAGAGCAGCGCGATGGACGTTGGTTTCGGCCCGGAGGGAAAATATTTTGAACTGAAGAGGTGCAGGAGGAGGAGGGCTCGGGATTGCTCCGTTGTTCAAACCCTGGCGGATAACGGGAAGCGTCTTCGAGATACGAGAAGCGACCTGGACGTTCTGGCTGAATCTGCAACGCATCTTACACAAATATCTACAAATATCTAACTATATACCGTTCGGGATTGCACGGGCCTGCGGGTTAGAGGATGACGGGAAGCGGGTTAGAGGATGACGGGAAGCGCGCTAAGATTCGAAGAGTCGCGCGATGGACGTTGGTGCGGGCCCGGAAGGGTTATTGTTCCCAACCATTTTGTGGTGTTGAGTCCTCGTTTTGAAGAGACGGTCCCCGCATTCTCCGCCTTCTTCCCTCCCCCTCCTCCCCCTCCTACCTCCTCCCTGCGTTGCACCCAGACACGCACACACACACAGGCACACACAGAGAGGCCACAGACGTTCACGCAGACCACAGGAGCACGGCAGAGCAGCACGGCATAAGACAGCAGTGCCGCAGACCACGCACGGACAATTATGCGCATATTCCACGCACGCACGCGCACGCGCAAATGCGCGCACGCCACGACAGATCTGCGCGGCAGACAAAAAACATATTATCCCGGCAAAGCAACCTAACAGCGATGTGTAGGAGCATATCTGGAAGCATTCCCCTTAAGATTCAGATGAGAATCCAGTTGTAGAATTCTGCTGTTCTCGCAGTCGTAGTCGCATTCGCGATGACAGTCGCAGTGGCAACGGCAGTCGCAGTCACAGCCTCAGCCTCAGCCTGCCTCAGCCTCAGCCTCAGCCTGCCTCAGCCTCAGCCTGCCTCAGCCTCAGCCTCAGCCTGCTTCAGCCTCAGCCTCAGTCTGCCTTCAGCCTCGGCCTCAGCCTCAGCCTGCCTCAGCCTCAGCCTGCATCAGCCTCAGCCTCAGCCTCAGCCTGCCTCAGCATCAGCCTGCCTCAGCCTCAGCCTCAGCCTGCCTCAGCCTCAGCCTCAGCCTGCTTCAGCCTCAGCCTCAGCTGCCTCAGCCTCAGCCTGCCTCAGCCTCAGCCTCAGCCTGCCAGCCTTCAGCTGCTTCAGCCTCAGCCTGCCTCAGCCTCAGCCTGCAGCCTCAGCCTCAGCCTCAGCCTCAGCCTGCCTCAGCCTCAGCCTCAGCCTGCCTCAGCATCAGCCTGCCTCAGCCTCAGCCTCAGCCTGCCTCTGCCTCAGCCTGCATCAGCCTCAGCCTCAGTCTGTCGTCGGCCTCGGCCTCAGCCTCAGCCTGCCTCAGCCTCAGCCTGCATCGGCCTCAGCCTCAGCCTGCCTCAGCTTGAGCCTCAGCCCACCCTAGCTCAGCTCCAGCTCAGCCTCAGCCTGCTTCAGCCTCAGCCTCAGCCTCAGCCTGCCTCAGCCTCAGCCTCAGCCTGCCTCTGCCTCAGCCTCAGCCTGCTCCAGCCTCAGCCTCAATCTGCCTTCAGCCTCGGCCTCAGCCTCAGCCTGCCTCAGCCTCAGCCTGCATCAGCCTCAGCCTCAGCCTCAGCCTGCCTCAGCCTCAGCCTGCCTCAGCCCCAGCCTCAGCCTGCCTCAGCCTGCCTCAGCCTCAGCCTCAGCCTGCTTCAGCCTCAGCCTCAGTCTGCCTTCAGCCTCGGCCTCAGCCTCAGCCTGCCTCAGCCTCAGGCATCAGCCTCAGCCGCCTCCAGCATACAGCCTCTTGCCTCACCCTGCATCAGCCTCAGCCTCTGCCTCAGCCT